ACTAGCTGAACTTTGGCGTTCAGCACTAATAGAAGAAGAACATTAGTGACGGTCTAAGTTTTTGAAATATCACTTTTTCTAATTATATTATAATTCACGTGCTGACATAAGATGACCTTTCTAAAGGAAGACCTTTTAATGTGGCCTAAATAGCAGGTACAATTACGTTTGTCACATAAGTACCTTTATTTTGTGATTTCGTGAACTTGAAACTAAAAGCAGGATTATTTCATGAATCATTTAGAGAACCCAAAATTCTTGATGTGACCTTTGCAAGTTCCTCATCTGATTCTTTTCACTCCCCATAATGCGAAAGTTTTTGTGGTAAAATGTTCATATCACTCTCAATAAAGCTAGCCACGAATTCTTTGCATTTTTCCCATATATTTTGTGAAAGTGATGAAGGAACCATATCTTCTACTGGTTTCTAATGATAGCATAAATTAAATGATATCGAGATTGAAAAATATCAGCCGTTAGCCAGAGGAATTTGAAGAACCAGGCGTTTTGCATATGACTGTATAATAAAAAAAGAAGAATTTACCATAAAAGACTCCTTCAATTATTCTGGCAATTTTTCCACCAGATCTGAATCATTGCTAATTACTTAGTTAGCTAGAGGATCCTTTCAGGTTAACTCAGAAACAGACACCTTATTTACACCCGAAAATAAATGGTGGTAAAGCTGTGATGTATTTTTTCTAAGTTTGCCCTTTAGCGCCTTGATATTTTTTCTAATTTTATCTGAACTAAGAGGTCTTTTGCCATTCATCTTCACCCCACTGATGTTATGTAAACTACAAACTGTTTTAAAACCAATTTTAAACTAATGCAAACATACAATTAATTAGTTCCAGATATATATATATATAATTATCAAAAACGCATGCACTGTCAGATTAAAATAAAGCCCTTTTTTCACATGATTAGCTACTCCAATACTCAAATAAAGACTTTATGCAATACTAAAATAATCACATTGAATTAAGCATATATGGGGTCTTTACAATAGAAAGGGAGAAAGCTCCAAAAAAATTAAAATTTTAGTTTATAAGCCAAAAATGTTCTAAATACTATAATTTGTTCAGATTTATTATTAACTCATTTTTATTTTTTTTTGAGTTTCCTCCCTTTCTATTGCAAAGGTCTCATATTATAGCCTAACTACCCTCCACACTGCTAAAGAAAAAATCCTGTGAGTGGGCTAATAGGATATTTAGTCTATCATACTCTCTTCTTTAGAACGGTATCAGTCTGCGTTATTCATCACTCAAATAAATTCTCTTTTTTCTTTCTTTAGAAATATCTTATCTCTGGTAAAATTTCGAGAAGAGTAGTATGACGTGAGGAACTTTGATCATATTGATTCTTCACAAATACAACAGCCCACTCGATAATACTTTTCAGCTCGTTTTGAGATATTCAAAGATTATCTTCGATTCCTTGATAAATAACAGATCCAGCGGTAATGTCTTCTTCCTCAGCATTTAACAAGAAATTGTAAATTTTAGTATATAAATCAGCAGGCATAATAAAAATAAAAAAAGTTATAATAGTCATCACTCCAGTATACTACCCTTTAAATGACATTCTCTCTGGGCTTGTATTCATGTTGGGGGAAGAGACAGGAGAATATGCAAATGACTTTTACGCCAAAAATATTGTGTTAGAGAATAAGGGCATGTAGAGTGCGTATTGAAGATCTCAACTTTAGAAAGGTGTTGAGGGTAATGCATATAGCGAACTATTTTAGGGATCAGTTTATATGTGAAATTATTTTGTCGTACAAGTATAATTTCACAGATGATTTGCAGACTATTACATATTACATCATATATACTTTAACGAGGATCAGAAACACGTTATATTTATGTTGCACACGCCTACATGCATTAGCCTTGAGGCATTTCACTTTAGCTGAACAGTATATTATTTTATTAATATAATATTTGGGATCTGAATCAAGGTTTGATCTGAAAAATTTAGCGCACGAACTCACTATTATCATCCAAATCTGAGAAATTTATAGTAAGATTCTTTCCTAGAATATCATATTTTTTTAACGACTGTGAATCATATATATGTTATACTTCTGTCAATTTACCACTATATCTCTTACAATCCGAAATTTTGATGAAATATTCAAAGTCATATTTTTTATTAATACAATAATATTCAGGATTTCGTAGCCATTTTAACATATTAAGCCAATATGCATCTCTAACAACTATATAACCCTGCTGATATAATAATTTCTTAACAAGTATATGTGATACTATATCTAATCGTATTCATAATTGGGCTATCTTCTTATACATCCAATTATTTTTTACTGGATAACAACGTCTCTCATCCCTATAACAAATATATCCCAATTGTTCTGATTCATTTTTCACATCTAAAAACTTATTATTATTAGGAGTACCGTCATTCTGCATCACCTCCCAAACCTGTTTTACCAAAGATTCAGGTCTTTTCTTGTAATTCCTATAAGCTTGTTAGATAACTGTTGCATAGAAATTCTTAAACTGATAGTTATATTGTCTCGCAATTAAGAATCCCTAAGACTGCTTCATAGATCTTCCTGAACTTCTCGAAAAATACTTTATTAAAATAGTTATACAATATATTGGAGAATCTAACCCAGAATAGGCAGATCATGCATAGCATCTTTGGCCAATTATATTAGGTGATCATGCATCCAGATTATATAGCGCAAAAAATAAAGAATAAGTTATACATTACACCTTTGGCTAAATGATACTAATCTTCAGTTGAAAGCAATAGTCTATAATTAATATATTTCTCGAAATCAATTAGTTAAACTAGTTAAACAATTGTGATTTTTATCCCATCTCTCAATCTTAATGCGGACTGATTAAAATTATTTATAGATGCTAGTAAGTTATTTTGTTTTACATACTGAGATGAGATAAATATTTCGCTTGTATTAACCTCTTTTGATCTATCAATTTGTGAAAGATAGAGTGGATGCATCTTTCGGCCATTGTTCATGATCTGATGAAATCCCTTCTGTCTTTGAATATTTAAAAGGACACATTTCTGTCTTTCAGCTAACTCTTGCTATAATTATTTTTCAGCTAATTCTTGTCGAAATAATCTATCAGCTAATTGACGCCTCTTATGGTCTGACCAACTTTTGGCATCATAAAGGATAGCATGCCTAGAATGAAACCCTTCTTTAATAAAGATCCCAAATTCTATGCTATATCTATAATCAGAATTAGGTATGTTTAGAAACTTTTTATCCTTAGAAGTGTTATCATTTTGAACTGCTTCTCAAACTCATTTTGCCAGAGTTTCAGACCTTCTCTTATAATTTCAATAAGCATTTTGAATAAGTCGTACACCTTATCCTTAGTTTTAGCTTTAGAACATTCAGTATCCCAATGGTGTTTCATCAAGTCCTTAGATTTAACCTCATATCCATATCTACACCATCCACTAAAATATGTCTTTTTGGTTTTATATTAGTAATCTTTACCAATTTCTAGCAATCAAAACAAATAGCCATATTATTCTTATTGATTCTGGGTCGATGATAGTCAGAATTAACCATTTTGCCATTCCCAAATCCTGCAAACAAGCAATGTTAGTGATATACACTAAATCTCTGATTGGCTAATAATTCTTGTAATCAAATTCTAATACTTACAGCCCATGCAACTAGAGACTGACCTGGTTTCATAACTGATAATATATCATACTCCTACTCTATTCCAATTATTTTTTTGAGGTCAGTACCATAACAGTAATTTACAATATATGCGCTAACATATTTCATATTATATTCAGGATGATTATTAATAGGTTTAGGCACAATCTTATTAAACTGCTCATCTAGAATAATTGTATCAGGCATATTTTTTGTTCACTTATGAATTATAACGATTTATAGCAATTTATTGATTTATAGTATTTTTAGTAACTTACACTAATGAATAACATGTTTCAAATTTATACTGATTTGCTGGTAAGCAGTTTTAATGAATTATAGCAGTTTTATTGATTCATAGCCAATTTAGTAAGATTTTATATTGCTAAACTCAGATTCATTTTTATTAGATTGGGATTTATATAGACCCTCTCTCGGGCTAAGCTAATTTTATATTTACACTTGACTTAGTCAAGGAGCTGTGTATAGATCTTTCGTGATTAACAGAAATTAGCCAAATATGATGTAACATAAAAATTCTGTATCATCCTGACTTCCAGTCAGATCTCAGCACTTTTCCGCAACTTCCCTGCAACTCAGAATGCTTCAGAAAAATTGGAAGAAATCGGTGACTCCATTAACAATGTTAACAATCGACTGGTCTCAGAAATTTCGGTCACATGATTTTTTCTTACCCGAGGTAAATGAAATTTCTGAGCGAATAGTAAAGAAAAAAGGGGTAATTTTATATTCATACGCATATAGATTAGTTTGCAAATCCCTCATGATTGCATGTATCATTTTATTTATTTAATAAGCATTCATATAGCATTTACAGGATACACATGAATAAAAAAATGAGAAAGGCCTGATATAGGCAAAAAAATACTTTATTAATAATGTTTGATAAATTGGATCTATGAAGTAGTGAGCTTTAAAATAGTATTTGCACTATAAGAAATAACCCGTTTAATCTTACTGAGGTAGGATACATGTCAGTATTATGATCTATTGGAACTCTATTACAAAATAGCATATATGTCCACATACGTAATAAACAAAAAAATATATATTTATCACATGCAGGAGTTGAGAAATTATTACGTCTATCTATAATATTTACCATGCTTGCTGTTTTCATATTTTTCGCAATAATTAGAGCATCCTCGTTTTTTTACATATAATGAACTATCTCACCTACTGAAATATAAGAGATTATCAAGCTCATTGATAAGCGAACACAAAATTTATATTTGAGAATTTGTAATATAAACATAAAACACACTAATACGTTTAAAAAATTCAAAATAAACTCTTTATTATATTTTTTGTAAAGTAATACGTGAGAAAAGGGGGTCGGCTAGCTAAGTAAAAAAATAAAACTAATAACAGAGTAGCAGGTTGTTTCAAGGGAGAAATAAAGCATAAATGCCTGCCGAGCCCTAACCCATATAATAGCTGTTCCTTTTCCACTACTCCGCATTATTATTAAAACTAGCTACCCATGCGTTTATCTGATTAATTGTGCTAACTTTACTACCATTAACACTATTATAAAAATTTTCACTGTTGAAATCTTAATATTTCCTCCAAGACTACGAATATCAACTACTACCGAGAAGCATATCTCATCAAAAGTATAATTCTTCGCCTTTATAAGTCGATTAAAGTGTTGTTTAAAGTGAATTTTAATGTCTGAAGTAATATCTAAAATTTCAGATAAATTGGAACTTCCAGAAGAAGAAAAGCTTGAAGACGAATTAGTTTCAGATTCATTAGACACACTTAGTTGATCAAAATCAAATCTTTGAATTACTGCGTAATGTTGATTTATTTTGTTTTAGAGATCTTTGATAAAAACATTAATTCTACCAAATTCATTATGGCAGGCTTCTTCGATATTATTAACTTTTATAGTTATGTTATTGACATTGAAAAAATTTTTTGTACCTTCCTAGTGAAGTCATCATTACGTGTCTTATTTTTTTAACTTCTGTGGTAAGTTTATTATTAAGATTATTATTGATTCTGTCGAGCTTCGCAATGAAAATAGAATTAATATCGAAAATACATGTGTCAAATTTATCATTAAGTTCAGTAAAGATCTAGTCATGAAGTGACCTCTTTCCGATTTCTGGTATATTATTTAGTATACCAAGATCAATGAGAATTTTGATGACATGTGCAGAAAGTTCATCAGAGATCTTTTGTTTTAGATTTCTATATATAGTGACGATTTCTACGAATATCGCTGGACTAATGAACAAAAAAATAATGGATAATTCCAAAAATGACATAGTTTCTGAAAAGTTAAATGATATTAAACTGAATATGCTTAGATAAAGGAATGCGCAGTATATTTTATTGAAAAATGTATTTATTGATAGATCGAATAGGAATTTTTTTAGATAATAATGAGGCAGATAAAAGGATTCACTAACAGGACATCACCTTTTTATATAATTTGCAGGATCGATCTTGAAGTATGCTTGGGAAAAATTATATTAATATGATTGCATCACAAAAATCTGATCAATGACTTTAACGCTATTCATATATAAAGATCATCAAGGGGCTATACATATTTTTGAGAATGTGCGAGAAAATTTGAGAATAAATTATTATGCGCAGTTGCTTATTCCCATAATACATATAACAATTACCATAATATTACTGCACATTATTTATGTTAACACTATAACTTCTCTTTCTGGAACAGATATAGTAATCCTATCTATTAATTTACTGATCCTGTTCTAAAATTAAGCTGTATTAACATGCAGGCCTCTAATCAATCAATAAAGTCAAAAAATATTAACACCTTCCCCTTTTTCTCATTATAGTTTGAAAAAAGAAAACCTATCAGATTAGGCAATTAAGTTAAACTATCTCCTGAAGGTCTTGACCGAAGAAGGGTGAAATTGTCATAAAAGGCTGATTTGCCGTAACGAATTTGGAACACGAATAGCTCGTCAACCAATAACCCAATTTTGATGAGGATTGAACGTCAGGATTCAGCAGGTTCTGGACATTTACCAAACCAAATTTTGTGAAATTCTGATCACTGGATGCGTAGTTATTCAGACAATCATAAGGTCAATTATTTTGGATATAACTATGAAAGAATCTTGTGAAGGCAACATTACCAAAGTGGTGTGTGAAATGCTGATGACCTGGTAACCTACAAAATACTAGTTTCTGGTTCTGGGAACTTAAAGGAGGTGAGAAATTAGTAGGTTGTTATGTAAGAATTCATAGCTACTCAGTGAATCCCAAAATGTATTATTAGTACTATATAAGGATTGAAACATCAACCGCTTATGAAATGTGGTCCACATATTGTAGAAATCCCAAATCAATTTGACCAGATGCAGGGCACCGAGAGCTTCAAAACAAGCCAAGGTGTGAAGTATTTGGATCACAGGAAGCCAGAATAGCTTTGACAGTTGGGAAAATTTACTGTGTCACATCATGGATTAGAAGTTAATTAACAAATCATAGATCAATTTTGCAAAATGTAATACTGCAGAACCGTCACTCCTGAATACTACGATCGTTGCAAAACATGAAACAATTATGGCAACCCTAATATCTATTAATTTGCTAAAGTTTAAGAATAAATTATTTTGCACAACTAGCAATCAAAATTTCGCTAAAAAGTTTATCATTTATAAATTTATCATCACTGGTTAAGAGATCACAGTGTTAAAGGGCTTTTATTTTGTGATATATTCTATAAATACAAAGGATGGGTATATGGGCCGGGATACAAGATCATGAATAATAAATCTATTTCTGATTGTATAGCCTCGCAGTAATAAGAAAAAATAATGTGAAATATATATGCTAATCATATATGCTAATTATATCACACAGCCCCTATTCTTTGGCAAGAATTTTACCAAATATCTTCTACCACCCTCTATACTTTTACAGATACTATTGGAATTTCACGATTAAGAGGATCTTTGCATTTGATACGATAAGTTTATTCGCTGTAATATTCACCTGCACCCCATTCACCTCTTATATCACTCTATAAACTTTCTTCTTTATGATCCTCATTACATAATAGACAGAGCGTTGAACTATTAAGATTAAATCAATTACTGCGTTTACTACTATCGCTTAAATATAGAGAAGGAAATTGCTCTAGCATTAACCTAATTATATATTTTTGTTTCTCTTTAGGATCTTCAGGTAAGATAGAAATCAGAAGTCTGGATTGGTTAGACAATCCTACCTGAGACACAGACGGTACACTTACTTAAGATTTGGACAAATCATCTAGACTGATTTCTTTGAAATCACCTGAAGAATCACTAGGAATGTTTTCAGGTCCTGAAAGGACCTCATCGTCTAATTTAACTTCGTTTAATTCCTCTTTTTCTATCCTAGCTGAGTTCTCGTATGGTATGCCCAGTGTTGGGCATTGGATTGGACCAGTCTAGTGGAACTCTATTGGACTGGACATTCCATTCCAGTGGACAAGGATTATTGGACATGAACAGCTGCTCCAATTGAAATGATCGATAATCAGCAATTTATACTATATATTATATAATAAATTTTTTTTTTGATATTTTGTTTATCAACTTTGATCATTCCCTAGATGGGAAAAGCCTCCCTTGAATTTTTTTCTCTAAGAATATATAAACCCCCTATTTTTTATAAGTTAAAAAATCGTGCGGCCTTTTGCCTACCTCATTAATTGTAAATAACATTTAAAAAATTTTTACAGCATTCTATATTGTAGTGCTGTGTAATATATTTCTCTTTTTTTTCCCTTCACTTTTTAAACTATCAGTCTTTAGATTGCTCAATTTAATATTTTTATCCATTTGTCTCGCATTATTTTTTATCAACTTTCGTCAAGAATTTTT